ATATTATCACTGAAATAAACCTCATGGTAAGGTTTTCTGAGCTGGGATAAAAATCTGTTATCCATTGTGGCTTTTGTATTTTCTTTTTAAGTTAAAGCAATAACTTATTGAGTTTTTTGTTACTGATCAATTATTTTGACATATGCTGGATTTTTCAGTGGATTTTGGAGTGAGTGCCCAGGTGAGCAGAACTAATGGTAGGAGAAATAGCTTCATTGGGACACCATACTGGATGGCACCTGAAGTGATTGACTGTGATGAGGACCCTAGGCGCTCCTATGATTACAGAGTAAGTGCAAGGATGCAAATAGTGAGGATACACATTTGGAAAGGGCTTTTGACTAATGTTTATTTTAAATGATAAAATAATAGATTAAAAGACAGGCAGCTCCTCCTTTCACACTAAACTCTAATAGGAAATACTAGGCACTATTCCTATATGTGGTTTGATATATGCAGCAAAATAATATTTTCTAAGAATCTAGACAAATTAGACCATATTTGAGGAAGAGTGTCTAGTTCTTCCTTCTTGCAACTTCTTGGTAAAATATTATGTGACTTTATATGGAAATTAACTTTCAGGGACAGAGGAATTTTTAAATTTAAAAATGAATAAGTATAAAGTCAATTATTAATCCTTACAGTAATTAAGCTCCAAAAAATAATTTCATTGTTCAGGGTAATAAAAAAAATATTTGGCATAGTTCACCTCCAGATCACAGAAAGCAAGCAGAATAGATAAATAATAATTCATGTTATTAAAATTTTCACTGAAACTTCAATTTGGACAATATACATCTATGTATACATTTCAAAGAGCTGGTGTAGAAATAAAACTCTTCATTTGCTATAGACTGGAAAAACTACACTCACTCTTCACATAATAAGTCATCCAAATAATTTACTGTGGTTTCATTTTATGTGGAACCTAGGACTAGATACTTGAAGTTGATTAATTCAAGGTTCATCTCTTTTCCCTTTCCCTTAAATGCCCTCTGCTTGATAAGCAAGCAGATCTATTGAAAGCTTAGTGTATAATCCAGTGCTATTAGTAGCTATGGAGACTATGGAAATATACTGTTCTTTAAGTGGCTTACTATAAAAATAATGTTTTTTCACAACATTAATTATATATTTTTAATTTTTAGCCCCATATAACTGAAAGAAAGCTTAAACTTAGACCATCACAACAACCCTTTGAAGCTAAGAGATCTGTAAACTGATGCTCTAATAATTTAATTAACTTTATTAGTATAGCTACACAATGTACTTCTAGCCCCTGTGTCATTTCCTCATTAGAAAAACAAAATACAATTAATAGCATTAAGGATAATTTCCTAGAAAAGTATTGAATATAATTTCTTAGAATTATAATTCCATACTCAACTTACTATATTCAAGGAACTTCTTAAAGTGTATATAAATACTAGTATACCCATATATATATTTATTAATATATGTACCAATTTTATAAAATTGAGCCAAAGAGTGTTAAATAGTTTACCTAAGATTGTACATTTAGTAAATAGATTTATGGGACAGGATTTCTTTATAACAAATTCCTTTTGGTATTTCAGTTAAGGTAATAATAGCAACACATCCATCATGGCTCTTCTTATACTTAAGCCCATCCAATATCAACAGTTGTGTAGAACAATATTAGCTGGTCACAAGCTCAGATAACGTCTCTCTATAGCAACAGTCTATAGAAAATCCATAAAATGGCTCTGGCATTGACATTACCACTACCACTCCCCCAGTCAAAGAGTATTTTGAGATTCTAACTACTGTAAGTTTCTTATTTTTAACTGACTTTTTGGGGTCATCTTTTCCTCTGCAGAGTGATGTGTGGTCCGTGGGAATCACTGCTATTGAAATGGCGGAAGGGGCTCCTCGTGAGTAAAAATATTTGATATCTGTTAAAAGTTAGGAAAATATATTGTTCAAATCTGCCACTTTAAGTATGTAGAAATCAGCTTATACTGACCACACAGGTGTCACATTATATGCCAAACTATAAACAGTAGCCTTTTCAGTGATTACTGAATGTTTAGTCAAAATGGCCAAATATGTCTATAAAAAGAGATTTTCCTTTTCTCTTTTATATTTCTTATTTTAGGCTGATTGAGTATTCTTTCAATTTAGCCTCAATAGTATTTGGTCCTGGCAGTCCTCACCCACCTGAAATAAGGGCATTTCAATAAGTATTAACTGATGGAATATTTAGGTTCCAGAACAATTACAGTCACACACAATTATTACTTCAGACAGTGACAATTGAGAAAATCTTCCAGTGGTTGGTTGAAATTGAGCCAATACGCCACAATGTTGAGAAAGTAACCTCCCTACCCCCCCCCCCCCCCCACTTTGGCGTCAGTCCAGCTTACCTTTGGTACCTTCTTTTAGCCATTCAGTTACCCTTAATATCTCAGAAGGTTCCATTTCATTTTGTTTCCCTTTCTTCCCATCATTTAAATGGCCTATCAGCATCCTGTTTCAGGACACTGCTTTCTGGTAGGAAAATGAAAATGGCATGTAAATTTAGATATATATTATTTACAGCTATCTAATGTATGGCCCCATAAGCAGAGCATATTTGTTGTCTTAATTACCTAAACCCAAAAATGTAAATAATAAATACATTCCTGGTATTATTGGATGAGAAGTGAGAGAAATGCTTGGAGTATGTTTCAGAGGTGAGGTGGGGGAACTGGATGGCTTTGCTTCTGACTCTCCAAGCAGATCCTGTAGATTCCTATGTTCCTGCATGCTCCCTCTGCACAATGTCCACATACTAAGCTTTGTAAGTTTGGACTATCTTATTAATGTAGTTCAAGGCCAATGGGAGCAAGTTCAAGGAGGTGCAATAGTCTTAATATAATTTTTAAGAATTGCTAGTGTCCTTCTGAATATCACAGTGGTGTCTTGGATTAAAACTGGGATAAATGTGGAGATCAAGTTTCTAATACCTTTCCTCTCATGTCCAGAAAACTACAAAGTATTGTTACAGAAAATCGGAGAAGAACCAAGCAATACTTAGAGAGATGGAGTTACATTTATTATGCACAGATCCAGAGGAAAATTTCTCTCAAATTCTGGGCCCCAACATGGAGAAATTTTCCCTATTTATATGTTTTTACCTTCTTTGTCTCCCAAATATGAAGTGTTCCTGGCCCCCTTTGCAAGTCCTTAAAGAGCCCTATGTGCTGAGGCCTTAGTCATTGTCAGGGAGGGAGTTATATTTACCCCTGAGAATTATAACGTTAATTTTCTGCCTAATAGAGTTAGTGGGCCTGCTTATAGTATAAAGCCCTGGAATGAGGGCAGGAGTAATCTTTAGAGCACATGTGTCAAACACAAGGCCCGTGGGCCAAATCCGTCCCGCCAGGCCTTGCAATGTGGCCCGCACCGCACTGTCATCACTGCACTCCACTGCGTTTCCATCACAATGACAGTTTATGACTGTTCAGTAAACCATTCGGCCCGCGATTTAGGCTGGATTTTAGATTTTGGCCCCTTCTCTGATTGAGTTCGACACCCCTACTTTAGAGAGTCTGAAGAGTCCTGGACTCTCAGTTTTGCCTGGCTGTCTCAAGTTGAGTGTGATGAAGCCATGTTAGGATTCCGTTGACCTTGACTGCTGTGTAGGTGGTCCTTTCCAGGTAAGAGTCAGTCCTTGGGTGGCAAATTTCTTTACCCAAACAGAGTCACCAGGGTGGAAGGGATGAACCAGATCAGAAGTTAGTACAGGCAGAGCATCTAGAAATTGCTTCCTGGGTAGACTGTAAAGCCTGCAAGAACTTGAGTAAAGATTGGTTATGGATTTCAGCTTTTCTAGATTGGATAGGTCAGGATCTGGAAGAGTCACTAGAATCTGTAGAGGACCCACTGGTTTTAGGCCAGCCTCCCCAGGCTACTTCTTCTGTGGCCCGGTTCCCTCTTGCTTCTGTGGAGTCCCTTTACCTTGTAAATAGCACTATGTATGTGAGCCATTGTAAATGGGTACCTGCTATCAGTATAAATTGTTACTGATTTTTCTTTTTTTCTTTTTTATAATAAATCTTTATTGTTCAGATTATTACAGGTGTTCTTCTTTCCCCCCTCTTCCCCCATAGCTCCCCTCCACCTGATACCCAACTCCACCCCATGCCCTTACCCCCTCCCCTGTGTTCATCCATAGGTGTAAGATTTTTGTCCAATCTCTTCCCTCACCCCCTGAGAATTGTTAGTCCAATCCCTTTCTATGTCCCTGATTCTATTATATCCATTAGTCCATTTTGTTCTTCAGATTTTTTATTCAATTGATTTTTAGGTTCACTTGTTGGTAGGTATGTATTTTATGTCTTTTTATTGTTCATTATTTTTACCTTTACTTTTTTCTTCTTCTTCCTCTCCTTAAAGAATACCCTTCAGCATTTCATGTAATTCTGATATGGTGTTGATGAACTCCTTTAACTTTTTCTTGTCTGTGAAGCTCTTTATCTGACCTTCAATTCTGAATGACAGCTTTGCTGGGTAGAGTAATCTTGGTTGTAGGTTCTTGTTGTTCATCATTTTGAATATTTCTTGCCACTCCCTTCTGGCCTGCATAGTTTCTGTTGAGAAATCAGCTGACAGTCGTATGGGTGCTCCCTTGTAGGTAACTAGCTGTTTTTCTCTTGCTGCTTGTAAGATTCTCTCTTTGTCTTTTGCCCTTGGCATTTTAATTATGATGTTTCTTGGTGTGTCCCCCCCCCTTGGATTCCTCTTGTTTGGGGTTCTGTATGCTTCCTGAACTTGTAAGTCTATTTCTTTTACCAGGTAGGGAAAGTTTTCCGTCATTATTTCTTCCATTAAGCCTTCAATATCCTGTTCGCTCTCCTCTGGCACCCCAAAAATCTGGATGTTGGTACACTTTAAGCCATCCTGGAGGCTCCTTACACTGACCTCACACTTTTGGATTCTTCTTTCTTTCTGCCTCTCTAGTTGGGTGATTTTTTCTTCCTTATATTCCAGATCTTTGGTTTGATTCCTGGGGTACGTTGATCTATAGTTGAGTTTCTGTATATTCTTTATTTCAGAGATTGTATGCTTAATTTCTGACTGGTCCTTTTCCATTTTTTTTTTTTTTTGGTATTGTCTTTAAGGTCCTTGAAGGTCTCACCAAGCTTCTTGGAGGTCTCATCAAGTTTCTTAAAGGTTTTTAGAAGATTCTTGAGTAATCTTATAAATGTGATTCTGAACTGTGTGTCATCCATTAGTTTATTCTCCTCCATCTCTCCCATTTGTCTCATGCTTCTGTGTTTCCTCATTTTGGCCATCTCCCTGTGTTGATAGAGTGGCTTTATGTGGTTGTTGACCTATAGGGGTCAGTAGCTCAGCTTCCCCAATCACCTGAAGTGGTCACTTTTGCTATATCCCTTTGTGGGCTTAGTGCACAGTCTTGGTGTAATTAAGCCTTGATTGCTGTTGGTACACTGGAAGAATTGACCTCCAGGCCAATTGTTTGTGAGGATCCACTGGGTCTATAAAGGAAGAACTGCTGCGCTGGAGACACACCTTGTTTCAGTGGGGCTTTGGTGCTCACTGAGAGGGTCTCCCTAATGTGTCACTTATGAGTGTGAGGGATTAAAACTGAGCACTAGAACTCTGGTTTCTGGGTCTCAGTGAGGTACAGTTCAGCTACAGTCTGAGGCCATTACTGTGGCAGAAACTACAGCATGAACTATAGTCCTGTCCTCTTTGGATCTGTTTGCCCCAGGTAAACTGCAACAGAGAGGGCCATTCATATGCAAAGTCCGCTGCTTGGAGCTTGGATGTGTTGTGAGGGGTGAAATCTCAGGGTGTCACTAGGTTCAGGCATGGCCAACAGCAATGGTGGCCTGGCTGCCTCTCAGATGGCATTCCCACGTCTCCCCAGGTCTTGCACCATAGCACAGTAAACAATCTCAGCTCTGCAAGCAAGCCAGCCTCACTTTCTGACCCGATGGCAGGTAGTCTAGCCTCTCCCCAGAAACTGGATTTCAGAGATATCGGGTGCTTGTCTCTCTTCAGGTTGAAGAAAGCACCACCCTTTGCGTGCTGGGATCCTCCACCAACCTGTATTGCATCCTCGCCCCTCCTACCTCAGTTTTTCAGCTCTTGTGCCCTGGATTCTCCTCTTTCTCTTTCAGTCTAGATGAAAGGCTTCCTCTCAGCCAGTTTTCGTTTGGTTTTTGGGAGATAGACGTTTGTTTTATAGTTTTTCCTTGGACTTGTTGTGCCCATAGGCAGTTTAGGTGTGTTTACCCAGTGCCGCCATCTTCCTATCATCCTGATTTTTCTTTTGTCCACCAGAAGCCTAAAACTGGGTGACTCAAGTGTTTGACATCCAGCACTCCAGTGTATTCCAGAGTAAAGCCTTGACCTCATGTGGGGCAGTTAGGATTAGTTCCTGCCCTAGGGTTAACTTATTTGCTTTTTTGATAAGCATAGCTGTGGCTGCTACTGCCTGGATGCAAGTAGGTCACCCAAATGCAAAGGGGTCAAGTCTTTTGGACAAATAGGCTACCTGCCTTTTCTAGGGCATGAGACTTTGGGTAAGTATCTCTTTGCCTATTCTCCTTATCTCACATATATAGAGGTGGAAAGACTTAGTTACATCTGATAGCACTAGTTGGCCCATTGTCCTTGCTCTGCTCATGTCTATCTAACTGCCTAATATATTACCTCAAAGATCCTGGCTCTGAATTCTTTTAGGGAAAATGGACATGGAATTTCCTTTGTAGCTGCTTCTTGCTGAGGAGGGACGGAGTTTTCTCTCAGAGCCAAAAGATCCTTGCTGTCTGTCGGAGAGATGATGAGGCCTAGGCACAGAAGGAGGTGGACTTGTGAGCTGGCAGAAACAAACTGTAACAAATGGTCTAGTGGAAGGAAAAAAAAATTTCAGTTTTAATAAGCTCTATTGAAATAGAATTTTTCTCCTCAAAATTACCTCTATGTTTATCAGAAGAGCCAGGTCAAGACCAATTTAGCTATTGTATTTAATTTGGCCTGATTGTTTGCATAAACACAATAAGAATGGTAACGGACTACCTTTGCTGGAATTTCATGATTGCATCTTAGTGTCCCCCACAGTGCTAAGAAGCCAAGCCATCCAGCTGCTGTCTGGCCTGCCTGTAGTATCTACTGAGTTAGGTGAATCCCTCACCTTCAGTGACTCCACCTGGGCCCACGCCCTAGGTTTTAAAGCCCATCATAGTAGCCCTCCTATTAGTCAGAGCCTAGAGTGCATGGGGGTTCTGCAGGGACCCAGAGGCATCCTTATTGTTCCCCTTCTACTCTGACTAACTGCCACTGATGGTAGGGCATGGGCCTGATGCTCCAGTGCCAGCCATTTTCAGGGCTACCAAGCAGGATATCAGGCTTTTCCTTTGCACTCTTATCGGCTTCAAATTTTCAGAATAAAGACAAGGGTCTTTAAAACATGACACTCTAGTCAAAGTTTTCAGTTATTAAAACTACTATTAGAAACTGAATTTTCAATAAATTCTTATTGAATTTATGTAAATAAATGTATTGCCATGATTTATTAACCATTACCAAATTTCAAAAAAATTGTATAAGGAGAAAAATATACTGACCTGTTTAAGATCTTCTGATTTCCTTGTCAGTCCTTTCTATGGATTCTTCAGAGTAACGTAACTGTCTTCAAGAAGAAATTCAAAATGTGTCTATATTCAAGTAGACAATTACAGCTATCCTTGTAGTAGGGTTTTCCCATACTTGACTTGTAGTCTCACATGTCGCAGGACCTCATGGGGTCTGTAATTCCTGTAACAGGGGACTAGTACTCACCATTTCACTACTTCCCTCTGTTCCAAACAGGCCTCCTCCAGTTTCCTAAAGTTGAGGTTTATACCACACCTGACATGGGCATAGTCACACAGGCCTTCAAGACAGTAACATTGGCACTGAAGCAACTTCTGACAGCTAAATCTTCTACTAAACATGACACATGCTGGGGCTATACAAATATTTTAGGGAGGTCACTAAAGTCTATTCTTGACCTTCCCACACAACGCAAAATTGTTCTTGTCTTTCTGGAGTCATGTCCATGAAGATGTAGACATCATCTAAGTATATTATACAGTTTTCTGCAGGCCACTGTCAGAGCTGTGCATGGTGGCCAGTTCTTCTTCCTAGCCACAAACACAGCCTGTCTAATTTCCCTAAAATTTATTCTGGCATGGAAGAAAGTTGTTTATCTGTAAATAGGCAGATTAACCTCTACATAATTGGACTTGGACATCTGCCTAGAAAGCCGTAACTTATAAGTTTAACATGTGGCCTTAGGTCCTTCCAACCCAACAGGGTCTCTGCCATCCCTCAGTCAGACTCCTCCTCTCTTAGAGAATCTCAAAGTCCTGAAGGCTCCCTGGTCCAGGGAGAGCCCCTTTCCTTTGCCCTTTGACTTTAAGCTGCCAGTCCAAAACAGCCAGAGTTGCAGTTAGAAACAGCTTTGCATATTGCAAAGCGCTTCTGTGACAGTGGCTTGGGCATTAGACCCTTTGTCTTCCCACCAGTCCCCTTTGTGGCAGAGCAGCAACCAGGCCTCTCTCAAAGGAGTGCACTGGAAGGGGATCTCAGCCCCTCCCTCCTCTTCCAGCAGCAACAGGTACCGAGCCCTTTCAGTACATTTGCAAACAGGGAGCTTTCACTAGATCTATCTGCTGCTTTCACAGATCCCGGACCTGCTGCTCTATTCCTGGAGTTGTAGGAAAGCTAGTAGCAGTCACTGGCTTATGATTTAACTGTTTCAGCCAACAAGCCAAAGGCCTTAGTCTTGTATTGCTTATTGTAAAAGCTCATTACTCACTGGGCAGCAGTGGGGCAGCTCTAGTGTCAGGTAAATGTCTGCTTCCCCTGCTTTTCTCGCTGCTGCGGCTTCTTTCAGGGCCACTGCAGTCAGATGGGGCATCCAGCCCTACCTCGTCCCCTTCTTTCACCTGGCTTTGGGGACTGAGTCTGCTTAGCAACCAGTTTTAAATTACCAGGGCAGCTGTGGACTTCAACTCTGTTTCTCCTCCACTTAGCTCCTGAGAGTTTAGTGTTGTTGTTTTTAATGCATTAGAATTCTTTATTCTTAGATACCTCAGTCCTTTAATGATCATCAAAAGTGAACAGTCAGCATTTTTAGATTAATATTTATGAACACATTTTAAATGTAGTTTTCAAGAAAATATAACCAGACCTTCAGTGATAAAAACTAAGAGCAGGTATCTAGTAAAAACTATTATATTTTTCCTTATGTAATTTCAAGTATATTATGACGGTCTAATTTAACATTGGAAGGGTTAAAAAAGAATAGACCAGGGCAGAAAAGATTTATTATGCTTGCAGACACGTGTGACCTTGAATCTAGTGAAGTTCTGATAAGACACCTGGACCAGACCCCTACGCTAGCAGAGTGGTCTGCAGCCAGTAAAAATCAACAAAAACCTATCTCTCCCTGCTTCATAATTAACTGTGGACACACACTCCCCTTTTCTACATTAACCATTTACTCTGTCCTGAACCTTAGCAAATGGTCTGAAATCCTATATATTTAGGCTTTTTACATTTAAGGATAATTTTTCTGTCTGTAACCATTTTTTCCCCACATAGATTTTTCACTGTAAGCCTCTAGAAAATCCTAAATCCTCCTCCTTTACCATTCTTGATTTCTCCAACCATCCCTCCCCCAGCCCACCCCATCTGTCCCTCAGTCCAGTTGCTTTATCTCCCTTTCTGATAGTGAGTCAGAGGAAGACAATTTCTCCAGAGGGGAGAAATAGAAACAGTGGGGGGTTTGGAGAAAACTACTATCGCTGTAGTAATCCTCCCTCCTGGAGGCTGGGGTCTAACCTGTGGAGAAAAATAGCAGGTGAGGATGAGTATGTGTAGGGATATTTCTTGCAGACTGAAAGCCAGGAGGGCCTCCTAAAAGAAAATATCTTTAATCCGGTTATAGATGCTATTAGAATCAGGATGAGAGAGGAAGGGAAAGACCAGGTTATGTTCTCTATGAGGATTATAATAAATAACTGAAAACAGCAATTCAAACAAAACACACAACCACAAAAACAACAGACAGCACAAGACATACAACCAGTGTTAACAACATCCATAGACAGTTAATAATAAATTCAGCCTTAGTTCCTCCACAGGTGCCTCATGTTGGACTATGATGTCACAGGCAGGGGACAGGGCCTTAAATCTCTCTGCCCTGCGGAGCTGTAAGCCCTGTACCTGGAAGTCTCCGACCACAAAAAGAGATAAGAATGCAATAAATAAAAGTTCTTCTTTACATTTAAATTAACTCTAGGAACTTCAAAATTTAGAGAAATTTTTATTATCTAAGTGGGCTGATTCCCTCTGTCAGAGAGCAAAAGACTCTGAGAAAAAGAAATCTCACAGCTGCTAGAGACTTTTGCATTCTGTCACAGCTAACCCACCCTATCTTTAAACAAATTAAACAATAGAAAGATATACTTCTACTAGATATTTACCCAGAGTTTAAACAGTTCACCTGATTCCTGATTAATTTGCCTTAGGAAGTCCTTGGCTTCCGGAGACGTCTTCAAGCTCCCCCTTTGACACACTAGGAGTGGGCCTGACTGACTGGGACCCCTACCTTACTGATTCTGTTGACAGTCAAGAAGTGTCCGTCCACTCTCTCCAGATGCCAGCCGGATCCTGGGCTGAGGATCCGGGAGCACCCAGAATCCCTTGGTTCAATTCTGCTAAATCAGCAGAGTGGCACCTTCTGGAGGCCTATCCGCCCCTTCCCCCCCTCCCCCCCTTACGGGCCCCAAAGCTGACCCATTCACTGGAGGCAAAATGCCAAGCACAATTGTTTCTTGGTCAGGGAATCATTAATGTTACAGAAAACCAGAGAAGAACCAAGCAATACTTAGAGAGATGGAATTACTTTTAGTTCGTGTGGGTGAGTAAAAAATAAATGATGGACAAAATGATAAATGCTACATATATAAAATTGAAATGAGATTGGGAAAATATAGATTACTGTTCATCATCACTCAATTCTTTTTCTGTGAAAAAAACATGCTTATATTCTCTCTCTCTCTCTCTCTCTCTCTCTCTCTCTCTCTCTCTCTCTCCAATATGATAATATGATATTTCATATGAGCATTGATGCATGTATTTGGTTAGGATTGATGACTGTATCAAGTAGTATATTTTTTCTATTGTTTCTAAGTGTTCCTCACCACTGTCTTTTTAAAAATCTAACTTTCTGCATTTTACAGATTTGTACTTTTTAGTTCACCTTTTGAATTTCATTTTTTATTCTAAAGTATAAAATTATAGCAGAAAAAGAGGTAATGAGCAAATTTACAGAAGGAGTGTAAAGATAGGTTAAGTAATTTTCCCAAGATCACAAGTCTTGCACAGAGTATACAAATGGCAAACTTCTTGTAAAAGACAAATGAGGAACAGAAGATTCTTAACTTTCAATGAGAAAAGATTTTAAATCTCAATGGACACAGACAATAGGGTGGTGGAGGCCTGGGGCTGGGAGTGGCCTATAAGGGTTCAATGGAGAAAAAAAGGGGGACATATGTAAAACTTTCAATGATTAAGATTTTTTAAAATGAAAACAGGATCAGCATTCCTGTATAAGTAATTGAAATGGTGTGACTTTTGGTCATAAGTAACTTGAAATAGCCACAATGTTAAAAAATTGTTTTTCAACAGCCTTCTGTATTGCTTGAAGTAATAACTTTGTACCGAAATTATCTTCATCGATTTAACAGCAGAAATTCAGGTTATAATTATCATCTCAGAGAGAATGACCTTCTGAAACAACAATTCTGTGATAATTGTCTCTGAGGTCTAGATAACAAAATTCCTTCCTTTCTTTGGTGAATCTCTCCCAGAGAAATAAATAGAGAAGGAGAATAACCTCTTATTGAATGGGTGCTATAGGGGTTCTCAGAGGAGAGAAGATAGGACTGCAGTTCACCCAAACCTTCTTAAGTCCTTGAGTTCTGGGTAGGAATTCAAACAATGTAAAGATATGAAGACCTTCAAACCAAGGCCAGAATATTGCTAATAGTTGGAACATCAGAATATCATAGGCCAATATTGAATAGATGCAGTTCTTGGTTTCTTTGCTATTATTTGAAAATTAAATTGTTGTCTCGTGAAGAGGTAGAATCAGGTTGACAGTTTATTGCAACTCTCCTTCCTTGTCAAGAATCTACACCAGCAATCTACCTTAATCTAAATTATACATTTCTCTATATTAGTATTCCCCTTAGTGTTGTAGAGATTATTTTTAATATTGTCATCCATGTTTGTTTACAGTCCTACTTCTCTTTCTTGTAATTTCCCCACTTTACACACAGATCAATGTTTACATTATTGTCTCATGACTCAAATTTAATAGTCCAATTATGATACCAATTTTTTAAGTATTCAAAAGTTTTCTTCAGATCTCAACATATTGTGGGAATAAACCACATTATCAAATCAATTCAAATTGTTCCCAGTTAAATGTTTCCAACCCATCAACAGATGTATTTTTAAATACATTCCTATTTCAAAGGAATGTTCTTGTAATGGTGAAATGTGGGCACTGTTAAATAATATGGTGTGAAGAGGTATTTATTATTTACTAGCATTCCTAAAATTAGACCATATAGGAAACTTCTACAATTGATGTTTTATATAGCTTTTTTAAAAAACCATCTTATGCTCTATTCCTTTGTGGAGTTCTCCTTTCCTTTAATGAAAACCTACCAAGTCTATACCTTAACTCTTAACTCCTAAAGATATTGTTAGTTGTCTGAATGATGCTCAGCTGTTAATAAATGACAACTGCTTAATATTGTACAAACTCATTTGCAATGTATTTATGGGATACAATCTGATTGCTGATTGGACATAGTAAAAGAATGAAGACAGTCAAATATGACCCTGATCTTTTGAGCTTGGAGCCCATTCTGTCCTCAATTAGAAACCTGCACTTTCTATTAATTTATACTCATGTAATTGAAACAAAGCATGACCTTTGAACAATTGCCTTTATATCACTCTAATGAAGTTGCTGTAGCAGGCTTTTTTTTCTACTGTTATGAGAGACCAGTTTGACATTTTAATTTTTCTGGATATGTATTTTGGAAGAGGAAGGATGACTTTAAAGTGGCACTAATATCGAATTGTCTTAACATTAATGACACACTTGAAGTGTTAGGTGAAATTTACACTATGGTTATTTTTGGGAAATTTTTACATAGCTGGTTTTCTTTCATCAAAACATAAGATGAAATAAGTGAAGTGAAACATATTTAAACATAGGAAAGTGCAGAATTCTCAAACCAATGAGGTAATGAATTTGTATAGTACATGTTGGAATAGGCTTTTCTTTGTAGGGTTGTGTGTCTGAAAAAGGGGATGAAAGTCGAATAATTTGGTACAGACTCAAATTGTCAGACAGTTAAAATCTTTATGAAATTTCAATAGCTTATATTTATTAAGTGCCTAATCTGTGCTAGACACTTATACTTATAGCTGGCCATTTAATCCTCACAGCAACTCCCTGAAGGAATTCTTGATATATTTCTTGTCTTTCCAATGAAAAAAAAAAAATGAGGAAAGATACGTTAAGTAACTTTCCCAAGATCACAAAGGCTGAGCATAAATTGAACCTAGGCCACCTTACCCTAGAAAATGTGTTCTTAACAGTTAATTACACTTTGTCTACCTCTTTTCGTAGGACTGTCAACATCCGAAACAGATTCTTATCATATTTTTAGACTAATAAATCATCTTTATACATTATTTTGCTTAACTACTAGTCTGATTGATGTATTCAGTTTATAATTACATATTCCAATTTTATAACATAGATTGGTGCAGTACAAAAACACAAAAGAGTGCTTTGTCTTCTCCACTTTGGTTTCCTTCTAAAGATATGTTATTAATAACATATTTCAAACATATTATCTAGTGCAATTTATTATTTATTTGTC